TTCATTTATTTATATTTATTTTTTAAATATAAATGAAAAATTTATCTTTATTTTTTAAGTATAAATGATTCATTTAGTTTTATCCATTATTATAAATGAAAAATAAAACTAAATTAACACCCCTACTCCGACCCTTGTTTTATCTTACTTTCACATTTCCTGTTTTACATGACTTTGCGATATTACAAGTTTTCTGAAGTGATTGAAACAGCGGATGAGTAATGCTGGATTCGAGCATGTAAGTTGATTCATATATTTTTGATCACATTCTCGGACTGGTCACATTAAGTGGAAGTGTGGTGGAAGACAATTTCATACACTAAAACACCGTACTAAGCCAGAAAGTCAGAAGATCCGAAAGTCATAAACTCAGAAAGTCTTAACTACTTTTGTCCGAAATATTACTTCATGTCTTGTCTACTAACCAACCTTGTTCATACTCAGTTTTTGATGCTAATCTTGAAAAATATTTTCAGAAGCTGAAAGAAAGATCAGCAGTTAACGCTCTATCAAATGATGTAAAAAACGACGAAAAAAATGTTTACTCGAAATTCGCATTGCCGTCACCTTACTATAAGTCTCATTATAAGTACAAAATTCGACATACGACTATTGATATAAATACAGTGCTAGCAGCCATAAAAACCTATAATGATATTCTCTTTTATAGTAAACGTTTTCTGACATCTAACATTACTATTTGGATAGCAAAAAGTTCGATTTTTGGGACGGGACCTATTTGTATAGAGATTCTCACCTTTAAAACTTGAAGTTTTGGGGGTAATGGTAAAACATGAAGACACCCACAGACACCCGCACACACCCACAGACACCCACAGACAGCACACATACAGCCACAGACAGCTACACAGACATCCAAACACAGACATCCATACACAGACATCCATGGATGTCTGTGTAGCTGTCTGTGGTTGTATGTGTGCTGCCTGTGCAGCTGTCTGTGTGCTGTCTGTGTGCTGTCTGTGGGTGTCTGTGGGTGTCTGCGGGTGTCTGTGGGTGTCTTCATGTTTTACTATTACCCGAAGTTTTGGAAGGACTTCCAACAGTTTTTGAAAAATTTTATTTTAAAGGACAGATTCCGCTGTGTATACTGGAGTAGAATTAGGATTGTAGCAGTTTTCCATTCAAATGCAGCCGACTTAAAAATATGTGGGAGGATACAGGTGCATTGTCGATAAGCATTTCATTATTCTATGCTAATATTCACAGTTTAATGTATTTTTCAATATCATTTTTTTTTTCATTAGAGACGTACTTGGATCCTTATACAATTTCGACAAGCTATAAAACTGGCGGCAATCCGGTTTCTGTGGCAATGGGAAGTCTGAGGAACAATAAGCGACTAAGTTAGGTCTCATAGTGGCCTCTCAACAAGATGACAGTATAGATATGTTACCAGGGCTGGGCAACTCCGTTGACTTTCAACTCCAACTCCACTCCAACTCAACTCCGTTCTCAAATCTCCAACTCTAACTCCAACTCCGCTCAAAATTTTTCCACTCCATCTCCAACTCTCTCAACAAAAATCCCAAATCCCGTTCAACTCCGGTTGCTTAACTTTTGTAAAGATGATTTTTCGGTTTTTAGCAGAATTCTGGACGTTTTTGAACTTTTTCTGGCTGGAAACCGCAAACAACTTCCAAATTCACTCTTGAATACAGCCACTCAATCGTTTAGAAGATCAGTTTATAACTATTGAACTTTTCCAAAAAAATGCTGATGACGTAATAGGTTATTGGTCTCTTTCTCCTTTTTTTCCTATTTTACCAATACCAATTCCAATATCAATACCAATACCGCCCAATACCAATACCAACCAATACCACCAATACCGTATTAGTATTGTTACATCCCTAATCAATGATCTCATAAGCGATAGAAATCCTGGTCACATGCTAAGGGGTATCTAGGACCTCTGGAATCTCCCTATATTCCTTAATAAGCCGCAAAAAGGTTTTGGGTGTATCAGTATGTAGGATATCTATGGTAGTATATACCCAGAAAATTTCATGACTATAAACATTATTATTGAAAAATGGCGAAATATATAATACATAGGTACTGCAATGATTATCCTCATTTTTTACCTGTGGATGCCTCTCTTGTAGATTCAATATCTAAACAAGAGAACGGTTTTAGAAGCTAAAATTTTAGGCGTTTTCAAGCTCACTTGAGGCTGCATACAGGCAGAGTTTCATTGAAATCCGTGATATCGATTGAGCAAATGGTCTGTCTTTTCGGTCGTCCCTATCGTGCTATGACTCCTATACGGTTGGTAGTGAGTAGTCATAAAACTCAAAAAGGGTAATTTTCGAACATTGTGCTAGTAAAGATAAACGATTCCGAAATTTAATGTTTTTGCGCATATCCATAGTAATAAATCGACTCTTTTGAAGCGATTTTGTTGCAAGATATGAGATACAGAACAACAAATATTGATTCGTTTCGAAGTACGTATCAAATGTATTCCAATATTTATAGATTATTGATGAATCTCGGAAGGGAAAATGCACTTTTTTAGGGTCGCCAAAGTATTGTAGATTCATTCGATTTTGCAGGAAAACAACCGAAAGACTTTTTCATGGCGAACGTCCCTCCATTAACATTGGCTCAATTGTTTTTCTTTCTTGTCGTAGCAATGATAAATTATCAAGTAGTATATTTTGTCTTATTGAATATTTATTACTCGTAAATTGTAATGGTTTTTTTGAAATTTCAACTTAACATACCAAATGTTTAATATTTGGATTTAAATGGTACATTCTACAGGATCAACCAGTGAAACAGTACATGTAGTCAAAGAACTTATCAAAATATTTTCAGACAATTATCAAGAGACAAAACTGAAAGTATTAATTTTAGATAAGACATCAGCACAAAGTTTATTTTTTGAATTACGAGATGTGATTGAAAAATATAAAAAAGTAGGGGATATAGATCAACAAAGTAATTTTCGAGATCAATTAAAAAGGTTTAAAAATTTAATTGAAGAAAATATGCAAAAACCAACACTAAATCATGAAATCGTTTTAATAATTGAAAATTATTTATCAGCAATACAAGAAGATTATAAATTACTTGGAAATTATGTCCAAACTTTAGAAGAAATAGAACAACAAAGTCTAAATGAAACGAGTAAAAATAAAATTAATGATTTAATTATTCGAGGTGTTGAAGAGAAAATACCAAATTTGATTTATTTTGGTCAAAAGAATTCTAACGATAATAATAAGAAATTCGAAATCGTTAAGAAATTTTATGGTTATTTTATTAAGTATATATCATACGTTAGAGAAGCAGTAGAAAACATACTCAGTGATAATAATTATCGTTTGAAGTTAAAAAGTTTACAATCAAAATTATTAAACACGGAACCATTTGATTTGAAAATTATTTTTCAAGAATAAAAACAAAAATAATTGATGATCGAGGTTATTCAACTGAAATATTGTTGGAAAATTTGGTTGAAGATCCAATGGTTCATAGAAGTGTTGCAAATAGTTCCGATTTTTATTGCGCTGTTTTCATGGATATATTTAAAGCATTCGATGATCAAAAATGTATTGAATCATTAACTAACTTAATATTTAAATTAGATATAGACAGTTTTTTAACATTAAATAAAAATATATTGAGAAGGAAATTATTAATTAATTTAGTATTCAAATCGATTTATGGCAAAGGAAAGAATTCAAGTAAAACTTACAATATATTAACTGATATCTATGATCAACATATTAAAAATGTGGATTTTTCAGATGATATTATCAATGTGAAATATTGTTTTAATAATTATTTTTTTAAATCTTTGAAATATCAAGATTTAGATGATGTCATTGGTTTTCCTCTATTTGTTAGACTTATGTTTTATATACATACTTAGGATCATGTACAAAACTTAAATTATGAAACTGAAAATGAGCATAAAGAAGATGTTTTGAATAGGGCTGCTACATTACTATTACTAGTAATAAGTAATAATACCTTTATTATTACTTATTACTTGGTAATAAGTAATAAATTTCAAAAGTAATAAAAGTAATAAGTAATAATGTAATAACTGTTATTACCTTATTACTTGATAATAAGTAATAACTGCTATTACTTATTACCAAGTAATAAGTAATAACTACAAAAAGTAATGAAAGTAATAAAAAAGTAATAAAGTAATAAGAAAATAAAAAGACGGTAGAAAATACTTTGGGTAGGTGGTTTTCAGTTGGATTTCGGTTCTCACAGTGAGACACTAAGACAATATTGAAACTGATTTTGGCATCGTAAGTTATTTTTCACTGTTTACGCATGAGTAATTGAGCGAGTATGGTCTCCAGGCTATGAAGCTGACTTATTGCTCAACTGGTTGGGAGTGTAAACGGTTAATTTAGTCTCTTAAGGAAGTCTTCCTCATTTTAATCAATAAACAAGTCGTTAGCTTGCCGTTTTCAGTGTGGCCGTTTCACGGTCCAAAGATCGTCTGAAAACGTCCAGGGTCAGAAAACGGTCAGTTAACGGTCACCGTTTACTGACTGTTTGCTGAACGTTTTCAGACTATTTATTATGCACACAGAAGTTCGCCATTAACTGGCCATTAACAGCTAGTTAACGGACCGTTTTTAGGCCGTTTTTTAGAACTTTATGCTAGATCAGTTTTAGAACGGTTTTTGAATGTTTCATGTCACATAGAT